ATTTTTATTTGAGGACTTGAACGGATTATATTAGTATAAATATGGATCTCTTCCATTAATTCACTACCACTACAATTTTTGGTTTCCGTTAATTCACTACCGCTCAGTAAATGTTCTATTGCTCTAAAAACTGTATCTTATCTAATCTAAATAAAATTAAACTCATAGTATAATGGTTAATGAATATTAACCTGAAGCAGAAGATATTTGGTTTTGATCTCTTATCATAACGAGAAATTTTCGCATTTTTTTTTTTCGAAAAATCGGAACATTAATTTTAAAAAATTTAGGACTTCGCTCGTTTACGCCTGCCACTACGTGGCACTTTTCAGGGGGATGGGGTTTCGTACTAAGGGGAATTATAGTCTAAGCCTAACCTAGTTTTTGTACAACCCTTGATACTGTTGCAAACGGGATTATGCTTTGTATGTGAACCTAAAACCTCACTCCGCGAGTAAATTACATATCTAGACCACAAATACTAGGTAATATCACATATTAGTTCATTAGTGCAATATAATTATTGGCGCGATTTTATAAACAGCAAACGACAAATTCAACTGTCATACATTTTCCATCACCACCACTGACAACTGAGTCATTCTCCGTAACATGTTAACATACCTATACCGATGTGTATTCAATATTCACCAATGTCTTATTCACATATAATATATGTTTACTAGTATCCAATAATTATAGGTTTATGATACCTATAATTGTTAGTTTTAAGCCATTACACAGTTTGGTGTTTTAGCGTTAACATATAATTGAATATATATATATATATATATATATATATATATATATATATATATATGCACACAACAAAATAAAGAAGAATATTAGTTTAGATGAAAAAAATAGATATTTCAACGTTTTCGTAAATAAATATACATAAATTTGATTTTTAATAAATTTAAATTCAAGTAATATTGCATAAAAAAAAATAGTTCTCTAAGGTACAATCATATATAGAGCCAAAGTCTTGACGAATAAAATTCACAAGCAAAAAAATACAATGTTTATGATTATTAGGTTTTATTATTATTTATATTATTAGGTTCCTATTATTTTTGTTTACCTAGTTTATTTTAATGATAATTTTTGCTGTTGTAACATAGTAATTTTTAATTCAATATATACGACCATCATAGTATAACACATATTACATACAATTAGATATATAATGTATTATACATCGTTTTTAAATACGTATATCAACATTTAAACTTCTACCTATTAAATAAAATTATATTATTTAGTATTATTAAATAGTTAATTAAAAATTTACTGTAATTGAGAAATTAAAACAAATTTGGAAACCAAACAAAAAACCTTACTAAACTTTTTTTTTAATGTGTTAAATTGGAATTATAGATTTTAAAATTATTATCTTTGTCGAACAATTAATTTTTAAACAATCAAGTAGTTTAGCATATTTCATACAACACCAAATGTATAGAAAAAATGTTTAAACATTTTTAGTAAGTAAAAAAGACATATTTATATAAATTAAATTGCATTATGAATGAATATTAAACCACATTAAGTGAATATAAAATAAACTTAAAAATATTCATTAATATCTAAATACTTTGACTAATATTAGGTATAATTTTAGTAATATTATTATTGCTTTATTTTTTATATATAATTAAAGCGATGTTAAGAAGTTTACTTTTTTTTTTTTTTTAAATAGTAAATTGTACTCAAAATTTACTAGACATTGTCACTTTTTATACTTTTTATACTAATTATATAGGAGGAAAACATCGATCTATGTTTATAATCACTAAATTCCTACAAATGTATTCTTAATATATTATGTACAACACAAATTTAAACCATATAAAGAAAAAATATCTTTATTAACAAAATATATTAAAGAATACTTATAATAATTTAAATAAATTCTACAAAAAATTTTAAGTTTTATAATTTTTTTTTCTCAAATTAAATGTATCATTTGACAAACAGTTCAACTATTGAAATTGCGTGATGAAAAAATTGAATATTATTATGTTTATAAGTTAATACATAAAATAATTGTTTCGTTTTAAAACTTTTTAGGCATGTACCATAAAAAATATTCAACTATGAATTCATTTTTAAAAGTTAAAAATGTTTAACTGAATATAAAATTAATTTTTGTTGATAAATTTGAGAGGTTATGAATCATTAAGAATTTTTTTCTTTATTTGAAAATTAGTAACAAAAAAATATGAATTTTCGTCCAAATCCTGATTTATTTTATCATAGACTTGGGTAAAATAACTTAAAAAAAAGTTTTATTAAATTAATGTATGATTAAACATAATAATTAATAAACAGTTCATTTGCTGTAGTTTAATAATTTATGAATGTATTTCTTCTATAGAATACACGAAAAACTAGTTATTAGCATAATGGAAATACAAATAATATCAAATATTGTTAACCATATACACATGCTTCAACTAGTTTATAAATTATGAATAAAATATTTACGCCAGTAAAATAAATAACATAAATTACCTATATATAATTGCATAAATAGATAATATAAGTATAAATCGTCTGTAAATAAACATTAAATGATTATAACATTAAACAATATTTTCCATACTTTTTTCTTGATATCGATGCAAATTTTTATATAGTTAAACTTTTATTGTTTATTTTCTGCGGCAGATTTAACATAATGAAACAACTTCAGTAATTTAAAATTAAAATTGTAAAATGTAAAAATAGATACATAAATCTTTGCCAATTCTTTTTTTTATAATACAAGTACCATGCCCAGATTAAATGTTAATATAAACGTTAATAGTATTTGCATGGTTTCAAGATGTCCGGTTTTAACCATATACGATTATTATTCAAAACTACTATAAAATTTATAGAAATTCTAAAAAGTTACCTTAAATTTAAATATAAGAATTAAAATATAGTTTTACTTCATACAATCGATTACGAAAAACAATTTAAAAATTAAAGATAAAAAATTAACAGTTTTACCATTCATGAAGTAAAAATATAATTATATTATTTATATAATTTTTAACATATTTCCTCTGTGCAGAAAAACTATTAAAATGATAAAATGTAATAATAATAATATTAATAATATTTTATTATATTTTATAATTATAAAAAAAATAAAATAAAAAATTAAAATAAAATACGCATTCTATTTACAAAATATATGACGGTTTGGAACAGCAATATAGCATATAGTTTAATAATTAATTGTAATTTATCAACATTATTAATTAATGCAACATACATTTATGGTAAAATTGTAAAATTGTAAAACCAATTAAATTTAAATAAATTTAATTTTTTTATTAACAACTAAATTGTTTTTATAATTATTATAATTTTTAAAATCAGGATTGAAATAACATTTGAATCAAAACAATTTTAAAAATAATTTATCGTATGGTTAATAAACTTACTAAAAAAATTAAAAATAAGGAAATCAATTAATATTTTTGGCTAGGTGGAAAATGTCTTCAAAATACATTAATTAAAACAATATGTTACCTACTTTGTAAAAATTAATTTGTGCCTTTTTATTTTTTTTATAAATAATTTTACTATCTAAAAATAAAAATAAATTAAGGATTTTATCAACAATCATTAGTGATAATATGGAAAATAATAAATTTAAAATAATTAAATTGTAAAGAAAATTAAATTCTGTAATAAAATATACAACAAAATATTAAAATCAAATTATTTATACACAAATAAACGCTTAAGACGTGTAAAATTTTTCTTGTTAGTCAATTTAGCTTGTCAACTTATCAAAAAGATTAAAAAGTATGAACTACAATGTGTTATTCAAGCTTTGCATACGTTTTTCAAACATGTTGAACATCAAATAGCATAAAAAGTATTTTATGATATCTATACAAGTAGTACATTCTCGACACACGGTACATTGATTTCAAATCCATCATTAATGCTTCAATGTTAATAGTATTTTACCAAAAACATGCTCAACAATTTAACTTATCCACCATTATTCACGATCAAAGCTATTCGCCCGCGTGAAATAAAACATGACCCGTGTCTGAACGTATTTATAATACGTCTGCCGACTATGTATCATCACGTCGTTAGATAATCGTAAACATGTTTTCGAATGATTCAACTTTGATTTAAATTTTCAAATTTATGTTATTTATACATGATGATGAATCCAATTATTCGAATTTCAAACCGAACCAATAAAATATGTAACACTTTATGCTCGGTGTGGTTCAAAATTCAGAAAACTACAAGTAAAACGATCGGTTTAACGAATTTTATTCCGGTTCAAAATTCGAACTAAAAAAAAAAAACATATTCCAAAAATTGATTTTAATAAACTCTAAGTACTCAATAATAATAACATGTTTGTACTATTTTTGATGTTAACTGCTCAAACCACACCTTTTGCCCTCTTTACACATCACAGTAGTGTTATACCGATCGTCCAATATTATGCTGATGTAATATTGATTCGTATAAAAAAAACGTCAACGCTCGAATTCGAGTGCTATGCAACGTAATTATTTATTTTTTAAAACGTTCAAATCTACATTTCGACTTGTCAGGATAACATATGTCAAAAAAAAATTTTAACATAACACGATAAGTCTTACAACATAAATCTATACTTCGCTCAGGTAATGTAATATTATGCACATGCGTTTAACACGGTGCAATAATTATCTGATCTCGTGTAAAAAAAAAAGTTTTCTTAAATGTTTCCGCGTGTACATACCTACCACCAACATATCATAACATGTACATGTTATGCCTAATATTACGTTTTGGAAACTAACTCGTGGTTATAAGCATGTACTCACATTGTTTATGTTACCTATACACACGTGCATACGTGTACGCATACATACACTGGCACACACACGTGTGTATTATTTTAGTGAACAACATGAATACTAATAATAAAAATAATAAAAATAAATAATAATAATAATAATAATAATAATATATTATGATATTACAAGATCGGTGCGAAATCGTCGATAAACATCACGCGTTACACGCCGCGTGTGGGTACGTCGATAATGTCGAACGTAATCACGAAATATCACGAGAGACAATACGTTATATTATATGCTAATTATTGCGAGAGAAAAAAAAACAAACACACACATACACACACACAAACATACACACACACATACACGAACACACACGGCACACACTCTCGTTTCGGTAGGCAAACACGCGCGCGTGTACACACACGTCTCGGAACGGCAGAAGTTCGGTCCGTCCGTAACGGTCCGTGTTCGTGGGGCCAACTGCCGGCGGCTCAGCATGTGACTGCACACCAAACCGTCGTCGTCGTCGGCGGCGGCGGTTGCTGTACCGGTAGGGCACCCGCACGCGCGCGCGCGCAACCGCGTACGTGAGATTTTTCTTCTTACCGTTTCACGAGACCACCCCCACCCCCACGAAACCGTCGGTAGCGAGACGCACCGTAACGTTGCGACGTATCGTAAATGTGTATTGTGTACACATTTATTGTAATGATAACAACTTTAGTTCACGAGGTAAAATCGAGAAAACAAAAAAATAACGTGGAAAAAATTACCGTTTGCGAGCGTACTTCTAGCACTTTCCTGTTCTTCAGTGTACACCTTTAACGCAAGGATTGTGTACGACCTTGGTCCTTTGCGGTCGTCAAGGAAATCATTAGATTTTATTGTATTCGTACGTATAACGACACGCGTTCGTTTCGCCGCAAGTACTCTAATTTTTTTCTCCTCCTCCCCGTCCATTTCACCGTCGTGGTTTCGAGACCACAGCGGGTAGGCGCGCCACACGTCGAGAAAAATTCGCGCAGCGATGTGTCGACATCTCATCCTTCCGTGGGAACGGCCAGTTGGTCCGGAATGTCGGCGGGAGGACGAGCTTCACGCGCGCGTTTCAGGTGACCAGGATGGACGGAGACCGCAAGCTCTTGCCCCGTCGTCGAACGGACGATGCAAAATAGCACAAAAATCGTATATTTAAAACGAAATTTTTCCTTTATACTATTTTGAAGTGTGTAAATTTTGTCTAATTGTACACACTGCTCGTGAATTTAATAAAGAAATCATGGAAATAGCCCAAGGGACTTCACGTATAGGAAAGTTCACGTGAAGAAATTATCAACAAATTCGCCAGTCTTAAAGCGAGAAGAGCAAATGTTGAAACATGTTAAAATGTACACTGTAAAAATAACTAATAATTATAAATTGTGTTCTTAAAAAAAAAAAAAAATAGTAAAATTAAAGGTTGAAAAAAATATTATCACACATAAAATGTTTAATTGGTATAAAGGCGTTTTTTTCCAAGTTTTCCGGTGGCGCTAACGAAACTTCCTACACAGGCACGCGGTTCGTTCTGGAGCAGTGAACAATTTTAGTTCCAGTCATCGGTGGAGCGCATTATTATCATCTCGCTCCCTTGATAGCGCACAAGCAATACGGTTACAGTTATTCTTAACAGTCCGTCAAGTTTTCCCGTACATAATGCAATACGTAACGCGATGGTTCCGTGTGTTGATCGGGTGCCGACTAAATATTATTAATGCACGGGCACGCATCAAAAATACATCGTAAAAGCCTTCAAGAATTGTGTTTATAAATCATGTTTATGATTAATGTAGGTATTATTTTATCAAACACAAGTCAGAAGTCTTGTGCCTGCACGTGATGATGGTCACACACTCACGCATTGGTGCAGGCCAAACAAAAGAACACGAGGGTTCTCATACTTTTCATTTTTTTTTTTTCTCTCGACGGGCGAGTTTAGATTTCAATCGTTTTATTCTTGGTGAGAAAAACTGAATTGAAACGTTAAGATATTTCCGAAACCACGACACAATACTTGCCATTTTCAAGGGGTGAAAATGCCCCTAACCCCTCATGCTCCCAAATCACGTTACCGCTTAAATCCCATGAGTGTACACGCGCCGCGAGTAGTGCCACACATACGTCTGATGATCATCGTAACGCTGCAGTGCAATATAAACTTTACAGGGGGTTTTGCGGAATTCGCTGCGATGATGGCATGCACGTGCGTCAATGTCACCACCGTGGTCGCTCGGCCTCTAAGCGCGCACACATATACAAATACACATATAAATACATCTATATTATGTTGGTGCATTGTTACGATACGTTTAGGTGGTAAACTGCCGCAAAACCACAAATGTTCGCACTACGTCTACATGCATACCGTTTATATTGCTGTTTATCTAATAATAATAAAAATAAAAAATAAACCAATAATTATCATGTTTTATTACGGTAGTTTTACGACGAGTATTGCAAAGTATTATAACACACACACACACACACACACACAATCTACCGTACTCAATAATGGTTATTCGAAAACACTTAGCAAAAGTATATAAATACGTTATATTAGCGATCGGAAACAAATATGATGCGATAGGTGTTTTTTTTAATTTTTTTTATGCTTGTAATTAACCTGTTACAATACGAAACACCACTGACGTACAGAAAAGCCCAAGGCTTCAATTACGACCAACTTGCATGTTCAATCGTTTTAAAGTTTTAATTTTTATCCTAATATATGTACTTTGACGTTTTTGATAACTATAATACGTTAAATACAACGATTTAGAATAAACTTTAAGTTAAAGCAAAATTTTTTTTCTCCGATAATTACTGCTGCTTAACACTAATCGTCATTTACCTGTCGTATATTCATCTATACTTTTATGAAACCATTTAAATTAATTTTTTACTCGATCATATTTTAAATCATAAAAGGTAATGTCCCTATTATAAACATCACTATACCTTATTAACCTTATATGCAAAATTCAAAAAAAATTTATCGACCATTACGGTTTATAGTAGTTAATACATACATATATAATTATGCACATCAACACTTCTAAAACAATATTTCCCATTAAATTCAAATGCAATAGTTATATCAATAATTTATCAACATGGATAAATTAATATTAAACTATCAATAAAATACAGGTAAATATTAAAATAAATTACTGGTCTATTTATCAAAATTTAAATCGACATTTAAAAGTAATCGATTTTTCATGATGGTCATACCAATAAAGACCACATTATTTAATTAATGAACAATTGAAATATTTTTTTCAACATGATTCTTGTTAAAATAAAAAACCACATGAATAACTAAACAATTTTATTATATTTGTACATTTTATTATACAAAAAACAAAGATAATAATAAAATCACAAAGCATAGGAATAACAATAACTAATTAGTGCATTGTAATATCATATGTATAATAATAATTAGTGAGCTATGAGATCAGACGAAAAAGGTCACGGTGATTATGGAAATAATGAATTATAAGTAGTTGGTTAGTAACAAGAGACTGATTAGATCGAAAAATGAGAAAATAAATGAAATCGCTTAGAGCAGAGTGCTATAATAATTGTATATTTATATACACAAGAATCCTTTTATTTAAAGTTATTTTTACAAAAAATACATCATAATGTATTTCGTTTTTTGATTTTTAGTGGCCCCATTTCCCATTGTCCATTGGTTAATACATCATTCGCGACATTCATACACGAAATGCATATACCTATAATATATTATACTGGAAAGCTAATAGTTCACAAAAACAACACGTACAATAACTCAATTCATAGATTTTATTTTTTATTGGCTTGTAACTATTTTAACTGTACAATGTACGTTCAGTTCAGCGAAATGCATTTCAATAAAAATATTTTAATCATTTTTTTTTTCTTTTTTTTTAAATAATTTTTTGGTATTATACTGATTAATATTAAAAATTATTAAATTATATAAAACAATCATGTTTAACTTAATCTTACAATTATGATGAATAAAATGGTATTAAAACTATGCTTTGATAAGTAAAAATACTTTTGTGTGTTAATAAAAAAAATATATATGTATTTATTTTATCAAAAAACAATAAATATTCACATAGCTAGATTTAAATTTCGCTTACTTTGGTATAACGAATGTTGGTAACATTTTAAGAGCTAATTTAGAACAAATATAATAAAATAAATATAAAATTTTTGATAAGAATTCGAGTACCTATTCAGTATTCAAGACCGATGTTGATGTTTTACGATATTTTTTTTTAACTTGGATATATTATACAACGCCGCTAATAAGTAGGTACTGATCTTAATATAACATTTATAATCACACAAATCAATAATAGTTTTTTCACCATTAAAAATGTGCAATTTTTTAAATGTACTATTTTTTTTCGAATTATTTTTAGAGCATAATGGTAAAAAATTATGTCCAGAAAGTAAAATGTTTAAAACTGAAAGCAAGTATTGACTGATTTAAATCATTGTTTTATACATTTTTGAAGTGGGCCACGAAAAATTCACGACGCTGATAAGTCATTGGTACAACGTTGATTGCAAGCACTAGTTACCGAGAAAGTATTTTTTACGTACAACAGAAGTTAACCGAAATTTCTCTAAATAAACACATATTCATAAGTACATTACATTAGTTATCAAGTCCGTCTTCTCATTATACTTCCACAACGTATACGTATATACCAACTTCACGAATAGTTACCTCCTATTCCTGCCTACATATTTTACAGTAATAAAACAATAAATATTAATCTAGGAACCATTCCGTTTGAGAAAAAAAACGAACACACAAAAGATAGGCAACTTTATCTACTGTCGTAAAATATGTAATATTATAAGATAATATATATATATATATATATATATATATATACTCATTCTCAAAGAATTATAAAAAAATAACCAGATTGGTTACAGTTAAAGTCGAAACGCATAGATCGTGAAACGTAATTGACAATTAAATAGATATACCTATGTTATCGTGTCAACATCGATACCATTTAACACCATACACATTATCGTGGATATATATTATAATTTTTAAATCATCCCGTCCATTATTATTATTAAACATTTGAATACGAGAGTATAAAAATAAATAAATATAAAAATAATCCTAAATACAATCATAAATCGTTGAGTTAAATAAAAAAGACGTCATCTTATCCACTGGCCATAAACATCAAAATATAAATGTCAGTAACTATTAAAAAATTATAAAAATTATATTTAATAAAGTAAATAGATTTAAAAAAATAGTATAGCTTGAATAATAAAAAAAAATCAAATGACTACACTAGGACAAAAAAAAATAATTTTAAATTTAGCACTTCTACATTATTCCTCGAAATATATTAAGTAGGTAACTATACAAGTATAGCCTGTGGGTGGAAGAACACCGTCATACTTGACATCAAACGAC